CGTGGCCAGGAGGAGGAGGAGGAGGAAGAGGAGGAGGAGGAGGAGGAGGAGGTTGCTGAGGGCAAGAGGGGGGAAGGGCGAGAAAAGGAGCAACCCTGTGCCCAGGATTCTAAACCCCTCGGGGATAAGAAAGTTCGGGGTTCGGGAAGTCGGGGGAGGAGGGAGAGGGGAGATGGGAGAGGGGGAATTATGCTAACGGAGTTCCCCACATGGGCGTTTTAATAGGGCGCGGGCTTAGTCAGGAGGAAGAGGAAGAGGCGGAGGTGCGGGGGGAGGGGTCGACGAGGATGGCCGGGTGACGGGGGCGACGAAGACTGCAATTGGCGATGGCGATGTGCAGGCAAATATTTTGGGGAACACCTCGCGTACACGACGCGGCCAAGATAGTGCAAATCGGAACGACAGCCCAAGAGCGGGGCCGAACCTGATAAATAGTATGGTATTCGTATACCCTCCCTGGAGGGGTGGCAGGGGCCCCTCCTCGCTCAGGCGGGGCCTCCCTGGAGGGGTTGGAGAGGCACGAAACCTGATCAATCAAGGGCAGCAGCGTGGAATAGGGATTCCCCGCTGCAATGTCCCGGCGGAGAACCGCGGGCCACGCGGGGGCTCGTCGTCGGGCCCTCCGCCAGTGGCTCCTCCTTCTTCTCCTTGTCGTCCCCCGCCCCCAATCGACCCCCTTGAAACCCTGCGGGGGGCAGTCCCACGAGCGTGGCCGAAATGTGGCTGAGGCAACTCCACTCGCCTGAACCCCCGGGAGAAACGATCAGAAGGGGGGTTGCACTCGAATGCGCGACGACCTTGCGCGGTGGCTCACGCAGGCCGCTCGCGCGGCAGACGCGCGAACTTACGAGGGCGGCATGCGCGCGAGTGCCCGCGCAATCGACCCCCTTGAAACCCTGCGGGGGGCAGTCCCACGAGCGTGGCCGAGACGTGGCTGAGGCAATTCCACTCGCCTGACCCCCCAGGGAGAAACGATCAGAAGGGGGGTTGCACTCGATTGCGCGACGACCTTGCGCGGTGGATCACGCAAGCCGCTCGCGCGGCAGACCGCATTAAGGCGCCTACGCGCCACCTTCCGCGGGCAGCTTACGCACAAGTGCACGCGCAATCGACCCCCTTGAAACCCTGCGGGTGCGCCCTCCCGCGGGCGCTTTGAAATGTGTCGCCCGGTTGCGGTTGCGGTTGCGGTTGCGCGCTCCCGCGGGCGCTTTGAAATGTGTCGCCCGGTTGCGGTTGCGGTTGCGCGCTCCCGCGGGCGCTTTGAAATGTGTCGCCCGGTTGCGGTTGCGGTTGCGCGCTCCCGCGGGCGCTTTGAAATGTGTCGCCCGGTTGCGGTTGCGGTTGCGCGCTCCCGCGGGCGCTTTGAAATGTGTCGCCCGGTTGCGGCGGTTGCGGTTGCGCGCCCGCGGGCGCTTTGAAATGTGTCGCCCGGTTGCGGTTGCGGTTGCGAGCCCGCGGGCGCTTTGAAATGTGTCGCCCGGTTGCGGTTGCGGTTGCGGTTGCGCGCTCCCGCGGGCGCTTTGAAATGTGTCGCCCGGTTGCGGTTGCGGTTGCGCCCCGCGGGCGCTTTGAAATGTGTCGCCTGGTTGCGGTTGCGGTTGCGGTTGCGCGCTCCCGCGGGCGCTTTGAAATGTGTCGCCCGGTTGCGGTTGCGGTTGCGCGCCCGCGGGCGCTTTGAAATGTGTCGCCCGGTTGCGGTTGCGGTTGCGGTTGCGCGCTCCCGCGGGCGCTTTGAAATGTGTCGCCCATTTGCGGTTGCGGTTGCGCGCTCCCGCGGGCGCTTTGAAATGTGTCGCCGGGTTGCGATTGCGGTTGCGCGCTCCCGCGGGCGCTTTGAAATGCGTCGCCCGGTTGCGGTTGCGGTTGCGCGCTCCGCGGGCGCTTTGAAATGTGTCGCCCGGTTGCGGTTGCGGTTGCGGTTGCGCGCTCCCGCGGGCGCTTTGAAATGTGTCGCCCGGTTGCGGTTGCGGTTGCGCCCTCCCGCGGGCGCTTTGAAATGTGTCGCCGGGTTGCGGTTGCGGTTGCGCGCTCCCGCGGGCACTTTGAAATGCGTCGCCGGGTTGCGGTTGCGGTTGCGCGCTCCCGCGGGCGCTTTGAAATGTGTCGCCCGGTTGCGGTTGCGGTTGCGGTTGCGCGCTCCCGCGGGCGCTTTGAAATGTGTCGCCCGGTTGGGTTGTGGTTGCCGCCGCCGGGTTGCGCTCCCGCCGGCGGTTTGAAATGTGTCTCCCGAGCTGTCCCCTGACGTTCAGTCAGTCATCAGTCAGCTGGCGGGCACGGAATTTCACCCGGCTCCGCCGGGAATAATATGCTTTGCGAATACTGTCCTCGCTCTGGTGGAGCCTCCCTGGAGAGGTGGGAGGGGCGCGAAACCTGATAAATAATATGGTTTGCGAGTACTGTCCTCGCTCTGGCGGGGCCTCCCTGGAGGGGTGGGAGGGGCACGAAACCTGATAAATAATATGCTTTGCGAATACTGTCCTCGCTCTGGCGGGGCCTCCCTGGAGCGGTGGGAGGGGCACGAAACCTGATAAATAATATGGTTCGCGAATACTGTCCTCGCTCTGGCGGGGCCTCCCTGGAGGGGTGGGAGGGGCACGAAACCTGATAAATAAAATTGTTTGCGAATGCTGTCCTCGCTCAGGCGGGGCCTCCCTGGAGCGGTGGGAGGGGCACGAAACCTGATAAATAATATGGTTTGCGAATACTGTCCTCGCTCTGGCGGGGCCTCCCTTGAGGGGTGGGAGGGACGCGAAACCTGATAAATAGTATGGTTTGCGAATACTGTCCTCGCTCTGGCGGGGCCTCCCTGGAGCGGCGGGAGGGGCACGAAACCTGATAAATAATATGGTTTGCGAATACTGTCCTCGCTCTGGCGGGGCCTCCCTGGAGCGGTGGGAGGAATACGAAACATGATAAATAATATGGTTTGCAAATACTGTCCTCGCTCTGGCGGGGCCTCCCTGGAGCGCTGGGAGGGGCACGAAACCTGATAAATAATATGGTTTGCGAATGCTGTCCTCGCTCTGAAGGGGCCTCCCTGGAGCGCCAGGAGGGGCACGAAACCTGATAAATAATATGGTTTGCGAATACTGTCCTCGCTCTGGCGGGGCCTCCCTGGAGCGGTGGGAGGGGCACGAAACCTGATAAATAATATGGTTTGCGAATACTGTCCTCGCTCTGGCGGGGCCTCCCTGGAGCGGTGGGAGGGGCACGAAACCTGATAAATAATATGTTTGCGAATACTGTCCTCGCTCTGGCGGGGCCTCCCTGGAGCGCTGGGAGGGGCACGAAACCTGATAAATAATATGGTTTGCGAATGCTGTCCTCGCTCTGGCGGGGCCTCCCTGGAGCGGTGGGAGGGGCACGAAACCTGATAAATAATATGGTTTGCGAATACTGTCCTCGCTCTGGCGGGGCCTCCCTGGAGCGGTGGGAGGGGCACGAAACCTGATAAATAATATGGTTTGCGAATACTGTCCTCGCTCTGGCGGGGTGTGGTAGATATGCGGTGATGGTGTATGTATGGTTTCCTAAGTGTGGTATGGTAGGTACGGTGGTCTGGTATTGTATGGTATGGTATGGTATTGTATGGTAGGAGTAGGAAAAGAGCGGTATTGCATGGTATGGTATAGTATGGTATGGTAGGAATAGGAAGAGGGAGCGGGAGGTGGGAAGGTGGGAAGGTGGGAAGGTGGGAAGGAGAGGGTGTCCTGGGAAAACAAGAACCCCACTCTGGATGTGGGGAAAAAGAGATTTCGGAAAAATGACGCCACCGAGGAACCCCACGTCTTACATTATGGCTGGAGTGATGATAGCTGAAGTGAAGCATGTGAGAATGATGTTGGTGGCCGTTGCCCCGCCGACATCGTTGGTCACGCCAGTCAAGAGGAGAGGAGGAAGGAGAGTGGAGAGGAGAAGCGCCGCGCCCACCACACTGCGAGCCCAAAACGGATAGCGACCGCACCCCCAAGGCACCCCCTGTGGCGTCGAGGAAGTACAAAGCCTGCCACACCAACGCACCCTCTGTGGCGTCGAGGAAGTGTCACGCCTGCCGCTCTTTGCGGGCCCGGAGCGGATAGCGACCGCACCCTCAGCGCACCCCCTGTGGCGTCGATAAAATGCCACGCCTGCCACGCTTTGCGAGGCCGAAACGGATAGCGACCGCACCCCCAGCGCACCCCCTTGTGGCGTCAAGAAAGCGCCACGCCTGCCACGCTTTGCGAGGCCGGAACGGATAGCGACCGCACCCACAGCGCACCCCCTGAGGCACCGAGAAAATGCCACGTCTGCCACACATTGCGAGCCCGAAACGGATAGCGACCGCACCCCCAGCGCACCCCCTGTGGCGTCGAGGAAGTGTCACGCCTGCTACGCTCTGCGAGGGCGAACCGGATAGCGACCGCACCCCCAGTTACGTGTGTGGCGTCGAGAAAAGGCCACGTCTGCCACACGCTGCGAGCCCGAAACAGATTGCGCCCGCACCCCCCCAGCGCACCCCCTGTCCAGAAAGTGCCACGCCTGTAGGCTTTGCGACAGTGTCGTGGGTAGCGGCCGCGCTCAGAGACCACCCCCCGCGCACCCCCTACGGTGTCCAGAAGGTGCCACGCCTGCTAGGCTTTGCGACGGTGTCGTGGATAGCGGCCGCGCTGAGAGACCACCCCATGCGTATCCCCTATGGGGTCCAGAAAGTGCCACGCCTGTAGGCTTTGCGGCAGTGTCGTGGATAGCGGCCGCGCTGGGAGACCACCCCCTGCGCACGCCCTTATGGTGTTCAGAAAGTGCCACGCCTGCTAGGCTTTGCGACAGTGTTGTGGATAGCGGCCGCGCTGAATGACCACCTCCTGCGCACCCCCTTTATGGTGTCCAGAAAGTGCCACGCCTGCTAGGCTTTGCGACAGTGTCGTGGATAGCGGCCGCGCTGAGAGACCACCCCCTGCGCACCCCCCATGGTGTCCAGAACGTGCCACGCCTGCCAGGCTTTGCGACAGTGTCGTGGATAG